CACTCTGTCATTTAAAAATAATACGCACATTACAGCAAACAGCATCTCCCCTAAGCAAGCTTTTCTTAGGATAAAATGTATCAGTCTTTTCCATCTCTGTCCATGGGATGATTCTTATATGTTACCATTTATACATGGTAAAGAAGAAAAAAACCTACCTCTTTATGTAAGCAAAGAGAAGTGGGTTTTTTCTGCTGATAGGGTATATGATGCCTTTTTCACAAGTTGCTGCAGGTGATACAACTACCTGCAGTAACTTAGGCAAGGTTTTTGTTTGCATAAATTCCTCATCCCTAAAGGTAAGGTGTTGCCATCCGTAGGGGTTTCCACAAACTTTTCCTGTTGTTGTCCTCAAATTGTAGAATAGCCCAGGTTGGAAGGGACCTTGAAAGGTTGTCTGGTCCAAACTTTTGTGGTTTCCTTTAATGTTAAAACTTTCCTTTAATGTCATCTTTTTCTTGATGCCTACATGTGTTTTCACTGGCTCAGGTCATGCGTGTGTTGAAATGTCCTCTCATCATGGTATGGGTTATCTCCAGGTTTCTTTTGCTCACTTTATTGGTCTCTCTATTGATGTTGTCCTTTGTATTAAATTTAATTTTAAAACGTCTTTGCCAGGAGCTGTCTGTATGTGTGTATAGCACTGTGAAAGTTAAAATACTCGTTCACATCAGGGAATTCTGAGTGTGATGGTCATAAAAAGAATAATGTCAGACTTTTAAAATTGGTTAAAGAATAGAAGGAACTTTATTTTCCACTCACAGTGAAGAGTGGCAAGTTTCTTATACCTTCTGTATAAGGCTGTATATGTCTGTTAAAGAGGAACATGCTAAATGTTCGTAAACATACAGTGTTTATGTGCTTATTCATCTACACAAATATGTCCTCGAAAGTAAGTATTGGCATGTTTGCACAAAAAGACTTGAAGTAGAATAATTAATGTTGGTGTTAATGTCACTGTGTTGAACTATGTACTTTTATTTTGAATTAAGATTGTTCTTTTTAGATACAAAGCTGTTCTGAGTTAAATATTTTAGTCTAATTAAAGAGAACATGGCATATTTGTACTAAACTACTCAAACTGTGAATTATCACCATTTTTTAATTTTAGTAACTAAATCTTAGGCTTCCTTCCAGAGACTTTTTCTTAATTTGTCCTTGGAGCCTTTTGGGATGAGGAATTGATAACATTGCTGAAACACCTTAAATTGTCTTTCTCAGCTTTCATTATGTGCTGGTGAGAAACTGCAATCAAAGCAAGTATGGAGAATACTTGCAGCTGCTTTCTCAGAAGCTGAGGTCTGATTAATATCAGACCATATCAGTTCATTGGTATCTCTCTCTTAGCTGCTTCAGTGTAGTGAACAATGGAAGTCATATGTTCACATAAATGTGTTGGTGCTTGGTACGTAGCTATTATAACTGACAGTTATAATGGAATAATGTGCAGACTAGGTATGTTTGCCAGGTGTTGAAAGGAAAACTTGTAATGTAAATATGTCATGAGAGAGACACCGATTTCAGTCTTAAAACATACAAGTACGTGGATTTGGAGAAGATGCTTATACTTTTCTTTTCAAAGCCAATTGTTAATTTTTAGCTATTTTTTTGATTTGTTGGTTTTTTAGAACTGTGCATTTCTCTGTGATTTATTTCTGTTAACTTGTTTTTTTAATCTTCTTTATTTTAATGTGTGCCTGTTTGCCCATAAAGGGATATTACTCTATGAGCCCTTGTGATGACGGATATGTAAGTGTCTATATCTTTATATCCTTTCGCATTGCCTGCTGCAGTCTGTCACAGTCTATATTTCTCTTCATTTCACAATGCGTAACAATTTTCCATGCATTTTAACTTGTCATGACATTAACTGTATGATTTATAAAGAGCCAAAAGATGTTCAAGGCTTGGGATTTCTGCATGGAGAACAGAATAGAAGCTCTGAGTAACCTTATGGCTTCTTAATACACATAACACAGCATGTCAACAAAAGAGCAGCTTTGTTCACAGCTTTTACATTAAACACAGCTTCTTTGTGACATGCAGAAAGCAATTGTTTCTTCCACACGAACATCAGGGTATAGAGCGTATGATGTCTCTGAAGTGTGCCAACACCAGCTGATCCCACAACACCTTTGAGTAAGCAGATGAATATTATTGTTTAAGATAATACAGAAAAAGTTGTGCTCTTTAGAGGTGTGTCGTATTTTACATATTTGTATTTTAAATCTCTAAAGTGAAACTTTCTTTCTATAGTAAAGATTATCAGATTGTTCCATACAATTAAAATGATCCTCTTTCTTTGAAAACTGAAAAACCAACACAGTATTCTGTGTACTGCCTGTGACTTCTGTAACCCAGATGGAAGTTTGTAGTCTGGCAGTATTACAAGTACACCATAAGTATCTAATTTTGCCCATAGTCAGTGCATTCTTTGCAAAGAGAGGAAATGAGTCTACTTTCTAAGTAACTCAGTCTGTGATCAAATCATAAAAGTGATTGACACCAAGTCTGAAAAATGTCAGTCAGTATTCTACTTGAAAATAATCCATATTTGTATTTCAATCACTTTGTATAAAACAAGATTTCACCTTTCAAGCAAAACTGTACTTTTTTTTTTTTTCCCCAAACGTATTCATCACCTGGAATTACAGTAACCCCTGTGGGCACTCAACTTCCTGCTTAAAACAACATTTTGTTTTGGGAAATAGTCATAGAATTATTGAATGCAATGGACTATTCCTTATGTGCTTCTTTTAATCTTGATATGGAGAGTAGTATCCACATTCACTTGTGTTGAAAGATCACCTGTCTCAATCAACCTGTTCCTGTTGATGATATGAATGGTCATAACGGACACCTTTTGCTTGACATTTAGCATTTTGCTGCCTTTCATAGTGGTCTGTTTTGAGACTGAGGAAAAGTTGATTACAGATGGGAAATTATGAATAAAATTATCTTTGTTAAAGAAAAGTTTTGCCCTTATATGGGCAGTTAGTTACATTTAACTTTATACAATGTAGAATGTAATAACTTACAGTAGAGTTGTTTAGAAAATTTTGGTGAAGCTGACTGTAATTCTGAAATATTTCTTGAATACATAGATAGCTTTCAGCCTCCCCTCACTGTACATACATAGTGTTTTATACTTTTTCTGACACTTCGTCTTGTCATTACATTATCACATAGTATTACAGTGTCACTTTTTTTATGTACACTTCAGATGTCTTGGAGAACCTATTTCATATGCCGAGTGGGAAGTTTTTGTAACAGCATATCTCTAGTATAAGTAAGAAAAAAATTTAATTAAAAACATTTGCAGATCTTCTTATGAAATTAATTTACATAGCCCCAGTAGACCTGCCAGGTTACACAAGCTTGGAGCCTAACGCATCAGAGGCCGCATGTAGCGGTCTTGTTGTCATTAGTATATAGCAAATGAGCTCCACATAAATTTGTGAGTGCTAATAATATCCACAAATTTGCTCAAAATTTGGTTTTACTCTTCACATATTCATCACATACCTTTCATTATTAATTCTGAATCTGCATGGAATTTACACTGAATTCTTATAGCACATTTTCAGAGTGGTAACTGAGGACAGAATCTGGCTTTCAGCTTTAGCCTTCAGCATATTATGAATATATACATCAAATAGCAAAGTGGAGTTGGCTTGAATACAGGGCTACAGTATTTGATAAAATCAATTGTGGTTTTGGCTTGCACATGACATGCATCTGTTTTCTCTTATAAATATTGACTTCTTTTTCCCCCCTGCCTTTGAACTTTGTTTTATTCCATGCTGTTCATATTCATGCCTCGCTTCGTTCAGAAATGAAGGGCTGCCATCTGTGGCTAATCTGCATCGTGACAGAATTACTTGACTTAATATGGCACCTGGTTTGGCTTTGGCAGGAACCAACACAAACATAAGTCATACCCCATGATCCTACCAGAATGAACTATGCTTGCGCTGTTTTCTTCTGTTTTATTTCTTTTACTTTCCTTAAAATACCTAGTTTTGGCATGTGTTTCACTTATGACAAATGGTTCTGTCTCAAGATGGGTTTTGCATGAAAGGTATTTTGCTCAAGATTAAGTCTGGGAATGTTGGGAGTCATGTATTGCAGATGAGTCACCTGTGCTCCATGTTCTTCACATTCTTTCATTGACTGGCAATTTAAGGAATATTGTTACTCAAAAGCTTGAATTAGCATTTAACCTGTTTCAGGAAAGGTAAGACTGGGGAAAGAGCTTGGGAGAAGATGCTGAGCAAATAAATGCTTTTTAATCTAAGAAAACTGGTAGTAAAGAGAAGCTATGTAAACTTGGTCAATTGAGGCATCATCTGGTGGTTGACATGTTGGATGTGTAATGAAGAAGTTAGCTGTCGGCAGTGCTTTAACTCTGTTTGCCTTTCAGCCTGTGGCCTTGGATTCATCACCTGAAGATGAAGATAATGTTTCTACTAACCTTATAAGACTACTAAGAATTTACTTACTATAGAGTGCTTTGAGGGCTATGAATCCGCAGTGCTGATGGTTTTACTTCCTCTTGTCCAATTATTTAAAAGCAGCTGTTATAAATAAGTCCCAACTTTCCTGCATCCAAATACTTTCTCTCTCAAAAACACAGTACAGTTGCAGTTTTTGCACTATTGCCACAGAAATGACAAAATATCAGAGTTCAGCATTTAGATTTGAGTATGAACACCAGGAAAGAGAACAACAGATCTGTAAGGATCAAAAAACCAAAGGGTCAAAGTGGACTCTGTTTTGCCTACTCCCACACTTCAATATTAACCTTTTCCTCAGTTAAATGTATCCCTTTGTTCCTAAAAATAATTTTTAAAGGCTTCATGTTTTTAGATATATCTGCAACATAGAAGTCCATTTTTAAAAGCATATGGCTAAAGTTTTGCAAGGAACTTAAAGATAATTTTGTTGTTAATTTGGTGGTAGGGCAGGTTTTTGTTCCCAAGAATTTCTTGCCTTTGCTTTCTGTGGTAGCAATGTTTTGAGAGGGGTAAGCTGGTTCAGCTGGCACTCCTGCCAGAAGTAATGCATGTGGAAGCTTGGCTTTAGGTCTGCTGTGTACGGACCTTTTTCCACTGGCTAGATTGTATGTCTGAAATGAAGTAAGGGTGCTGATATAATTAAGCCCAAGAGCTGATTTGTAGGTGTGGTTTTCCTTTTGTTAAAGCTAATGTGCAAGTCAAGAACTAGAGCTTAACACACCTTTTTGGGGTTAGGTTATGTAAAAATATTTAACTGGGTAAACATCCTGAGATTGTGAAGTCTTGAATAGGTACCAAAGAGGAGAAACGAAAACAAACAAACAAATACTACCTAGTGGAATGCGAAAGGAGGTGCTGAGGTGAAGTGTATTTGTTTTAGTGAACTGCCTGCTAGGGAATTTGTAACATGCATTTACCCTTCCCAGCCTGTGTGGGGCAAGGCACTTTGTGAAGCAAAGAGTACTCTGCTTAAGGAATAGGAGTAGTACGCAAAGTTAAAATTAAATGTTAGGATGGGTCTGTATTTTGCTCTTTTAATTAGAAACATTATTGTGAAGGAAGCCATGAAATTTTCAGCAGAGTATTGGTCATATTCCCCAGGCTTAATTTCCACCTGAGTCCATAACCCAGTGCTTTCTATTGCCAAGACTGCTGTTTCCAGCTGGTCAAATCTGCCACAGTATTAAAAATGTGGTGTGTGGCTTGGTACAAATGGTTATGGCCTGTCGGGGGTATCAGCTCAAGCTGGGAAGGCACCCCTTGATGCTGCTGCTGCAGGAGGTGGCGAAAGGAGCCAAGGAAGGGGTGCAGAGGTGGTGCCAGCCAGACTGACAGCGGTCTGGCAGTGAGAGCTGAAGAGGCCGTGGGATGAGGAAGGGAAAGGCTGGCAGGGTAGTGGGGCTCTGAGGTGCCACGTGTCTTTCCTCTTTAAAAAAGAGGATAAAAAGATGACAAGTCGAGAACCTATGACATGAGGTAGCCTGGATGTTAAACTGAATGATCAGCACTCAGTATATGGATCACTTGTTTGAAAATTAAACTGATTGGAAGTCTCTTCAGACCCATTTACCTATAGATGGAGAGCGCAAGATGCTCTCCCTTGGCACACTGCGTGGCTGTGTGCTTTTCAGGGCACCTCAGCTGTCTGACCCGAAGTAGTGTGGACCCTGAAATCATAGCCCTGCAAGCCACAGGAAAGCTGCTGGATTGCATAACTGCCAGAAAATGCCCAATGAGGCAATTTAATTCTCTAGTAATATTTCACAGCAATTATTGTTTTCATAAAAATACTTAAAATAGAGGCCTAAATAAATTCCAAACCAGTAGAATACTTGTACCAGAGTTCTTACTGTAATATATCAGCTGTTAACTTATTTTGCAGAATTATTCTGTGTCATAATCAAACACTAAATCTGTTTGTGGTGGTTGTGCCACAAGTGTTCAATTGTTTAATTGCAGAATAATAATTTGTAGCTCTTGCACAATGCCATTCATTGGTACGTCTCATAAACAGCTTGCTAAAGAGATTGATGCCTGTATCCTTGCTCCCCAGATGAGAAAATTGGGACCCAGATATATGACGTGACATGTTTAAATTCCGTCTGCAGTTGGTAATCGAATCAGGACTAGAAATGTATCTCCTGAGACCCAAGGCAATGTCTTACTCAGTATGCCATACTGGAAGCATACAGATTAGCTTACATATGACTAATTGCAATTGTGTAGATGAAGAAAGAAATCTCTGCCTGTAACATGGCTGCATTCTTTCAGTGGTGCTGACCATAGTCAGTCAGGTTCAGAAATGAAGGTGCAGTGAAGGACAAACCAGCCCTGAGAAAATTTTCCGCATTTCTGTTTTGCCTCATTGAACTTGATGTAATACAAACTATCCTTATTGCTTTCTCAGAAACACCAAAAGCCTGAGAGTGTTCCCTTCCTCCTGTGCAGGTTCTAGACTGGTAAACTTGGGTCTGATCAAAAAAGGGAGTACTGGACTGCATCTTGGTGGTCTGGCCCTCAGAGCTCCAGTATAGGGTCTGCCTTGCTGTGTGGTGCCTTTTTGGTGTAGGTAGACTAAAGTACTAAATGCTTTGCTGGCTTAAAAAGTAAGGTGGGAATTAATAGGATTTTGTCCTGCTTGATCAATTTTTTAAAAATTCAGTGTTTTTTTGAATTGAAGTTTCTGTAGTTTTGATTTTATAAAAGCTTGCAAAAATCTTATACTTGCCAAAAAGTTTTATTTGTGTGGAAGGGTGATGTACATATCTTTATCAATTATACATCTTTTAGTTAGATTTTGGTTGGAGCACACTTTTTTTTTTTTCTAAGACAGCAAAAAAGCGGTGTGTAAAAAGGACTTTGCTGAGAAGCGGAGAGCTTTTATATACATCTGTTTAGTCTTAGTGACCTGCTCTATTTCTTCTCTCGCTATTGTTCTTTGTCTCACCTTTTCATCTCCAAGGGCTTTGTTATTTCTGTTGCTTTAACATATTACAGTCAATTTCTTCACCTTTTCCTTTAATGCAGGAGGGTGCTGAGGAAGTCAACAAAAAAGATTTGTAATTTCATTGCACACTCAGGGACAAGATGATGTGTTTGACTGGGAAAACACTTTTGTTTAAATGAAAGTTAACTTTTCATATTTTTCAAAAAATGGTTAGGAAAATGAATACAAATAAATGAAGGGAAAACCGTTTAGGTAGATATGATACTTTGAAAGACTTTTCTATTGTGTAAAATAAACTATGATTTGAGAACTGCTGTCAAGACAGGTTAATTTTGAAGTGTATGACCTGTTAATTGTCTGTTGTGTACAAGTCATTCATTGACTTAAACATAACATAAAATGCTTTCCAGTGTGTGTATAAGCTTCTTTCACATCTGAGAGCAGTTTCTTGTAGTAGGAAGGATACCCATGAGGTAGTGTGTTCGGGAACGTCAGCTGGTGTAATTCAAGATTCTCTATGGTATTTCATGCTTTTTGTTCTCTAAATGCCTCAGTTTTAAATCTGACAATAGACATTGAATATATAGCTCCCATTGAAAGAGGCTAGGTTAGGAGAGAAGACTGGTTTTAAAGGTGTAAGTGGTAATGAGAGATTTTTTTAGAAAGTGAGTAGGGAGATCAGCACAAAGAGGTGACACTGAATATTCTGCGAATATGATATGTAGTTGACATCAGAATGCCTGATATGAAGCACTATTATGCCAGAACTGGTGCTTCTTGGCTCACCTACAATTGGCTGTAGCAAAAAATTCTTTACTGAAGCAGACAACTTTTATATGGTGTTGATATTTTGAAGTTTTGACTTGTGCAGTGGTGGCCCCGTATGGTCTGTGTCACACTGCATCAGAGAGGAAATATCCAGGCTTAAATTGAGCTTGTCCTAGGCAGAACCACTGAGAAATGTCATGCTGTTCTATATCGGTTTTACCCGTGCTAGAATACATAGTCTTTTCTTTACCTATTAATAGTTAGATATGGGGGTATGGAATACATAGTATGTCTCCAGCGGAATATTATTGCAACTTTAAGATATTAATTTTTTTTTAAGTCAATAAATGGGTTTAGCAAGTTCCTTATCTTCCTCAGTGGGCTTTGGATGGTAGTTTCTACTCATCGTTTATCCTTTTGTTTGGTTGTTTGGTTTTTTTAATGCTTCAAGTGCAGATAATTTTTGGAGTATGACAGTGAAGATAACATAGCCAGGTCGTAACAAAAGAGGTTTTTACCTGTGAAACACTTTAATGGAAAAGAAAGATGAACACTGAAGTTCTCTCTTTCTTCAGCTGTGTTTCTATTTTGCAACATAGACTTTATAAGAAAAGAACTGCAGAACCTCAGTGAGAGAATTCACTGTGGACCTCATTAGTAACACTGTTGGTTTGAAATTTGGACTAATCTGTTGTGATTTTCTTTTTTCCTTTCTTGTTCTGATCCAGGCTTCCACAATGTTAAGAGCATCTTTAGCCCCTGCGTAAGTATCTATTGCTGAGCTTTACTTGCATTTGTAGAGAAGAGGAGAGAGGGGTTTGTAAACTGAAGTGCACTGCCAGCTGTCTGCAAATTGGAATCACTCATCCTCTGTGTGCTTCCTCTGATCTCGGTGAACGTTGTATGCAAATATTCTGTACTCTGCATTCTTCTGTTGGGCAGGTTCAGTAACATCCTAATTTCAGCAGGATGTTGCTAATCCAATAAATCTGCCACTCCACCCACACCTGTGAGTTGGTTACTGTGGGTTTTTTACCATTTCCGCACAGTACAGTACTGTTGTTGTAACTGGTTTGCTTCTCACAAATCCAGGAAAAGGGGGAATCAATAACATGGATTTTTAGGTGCTTCAAGTTTATTTTTTGTGACTGACTTAATAAATTTTGGCTTATACGATCGAATAGAGATGGTATATCTGACGTGAAGGTTTTACTAAATTTTTGAGACATTGTTTTGGTCCTTCTATTGTTTGCAAGATAATTGAAAGGACAATTACACATATAAAACTTGTTTTGAAAAGTGGTAGGATAGGAAGATAAGAGTAAAAGTTGTTTAGTGGAATATATTTAAATATTAAAATGAAAGCATTGACTGGAAGCAATTTTGTTAAGCGAAACTTCTACCACAGTATTAAAACTCAAAATAGCAAGATAGTTCTGGTACATGGAAAGTGGTACTGTATGAAGTCTTATGTTAAGCCAGCATAGTCCAGCCTGTAAAAATCCATTCAGCCTACCACTTTTGCCTTGGAGAAGACGTTTCTGTGTGTATGAGGGTTTAGAGGTGAAATTAGAGCTGCAGGTTGTTACTGTGTCTGTTTATAACCCTGTGCAAAAGCCACAAGCTGCTACCCTTATGCCCTTGTGGTTCATGCAGGGCAAAGAAGGACATTACTGTACTGTTTTGTGCTACTAAAAAGCTCAGATCATCAGCTGGCTACTTGTCAGAGTTTAATGTCTGCAAGTTATGACAGTAAATGAACGGCATGCATGGTGAAAAAATAAGTCCAGGTTTAAACAGTCTGTTTTTCTAACATGGTAATGGTAACAAAAGTGACAAAGATGTAAAAATGTGAAAGTTCTTTTCCTGAAGCAGACTTCCTGTTTTGGCTCTTCTCACCTCAGTAACATCATCTGCACTGGATAAGAAGAGAGAGTTCTGATTGATGTCTTTCCCATTTGCATTGTAGGAAGATGCAGGATGTGCCATTGTTACCCTCTTTGGATTATGAGAAGCTGAAGAAAGATTTGATTACAGGGAATGATCGTCTCAAAGCTTTCTTACTGCAGGCTCTGCGCTGGGTAAGGGAGATAGCCTCTGCAGAAATAAAAGAAGTAGGTCCCTTCTGGAGGAGTCCAGAGCTAAAGTCTATCTTGTGAGCGAGATGATTGTTCTGGTGATCAGTTCACCGTTATAGGCAACTTCTCTTTTTGTCAGTGAAGCTTGCTGAATGTCTTGAGATGACGAAGAAAGCCCAGGCAGTAGATATGTGTTTGTAGTGGTACTCTCCCTCTCTGAGGAAAGCCAGATAGGAATTCTTGGGATCTTTGGTGGAAGTAATTTCTGATGTGTTTGCAAGGAAATTGTTGGTTTAGGCAGTTCTTTTTTTCCATGTGTTGCCCTGGCTTAGATTTATATAAATATTGCCGTATCAAAGAAATACGTGACTCTAATCACCAGTTTTCCTTTATAATCAAGATATTCTACAAGAGCCTACATTTTGGTTGACTTGGATCATGTAACGATATTTCAGGAAAATTACAGGTGACAACAGGAAGTTACATTTTCCTTTTTTTTTTAAGGGAAGCTGATGAGTTCAAAGTGACAGACGTGAAAGATGATAATAGTGGAATTCTGATCAGGCTTCAGTGTCCATTTTCACATAAAAAACCCCATCCGTTGGGTCTGACCAGTGGTTGTTGTAGCCCAGCACTCTTTCTTTCTCAGATGTTTTAGAAAAGCACCACGTCTGTAACTATTAGAGAGGCTTTTTAACTTCATGGGAAGTAATGCTGTGTCCTTCCTGTATGGACAGTGATGACAGCTCCCAAATAACAATTTTGCAGTGGATCACTGAGCTGAGGTCAGATCATTTCATCTCTTTCCCTTAGATCACTGAGGCTGAATTCCTTTTCCCCATGAGAAGAGGTTTCTCAACTATGGGGTATCAGCACCTTTAAAATCTTCAGTGGTCATCAGTTCACTTTACCATTTATTTATTTGACTGGTTTATTTATGTTGTTGTTTATTTTAGCGCTTGACAACATCATATCCTGGAGAGCAGAGAGACACTGTCCTGCAAGCCTACATCAGTAATGACCTCCTAGACTGCCACAGCAACTGTCAGGTCAGCTGGAAAGAGTTTTCCTCCAACTTGTATGTGATATTGCTCTTTTGTTTCTATAAAGTGCTGATCAGAAAAATTTATGACACTCTGGAAGGGAAAAAAAAAAAGTTGTAGTGCCAAAATCACGTGATACATTTAACTTCTGCGTCCCAATCTTTAAAGGTGATGGGCAAAGCTTTGCATTACAAGAGCTCTCAGTGTAGATACAGTTCTTGTATCTACAAGTGGAAGTTTGTTACCTCTCTTGGTGCTTGACGTCTGTGAGTTGAGCAGAAGCCTACTGAGCCCCTTACTTAAGAGTTAGCTCTTGCTTATCAGATGCTATGTCTCTTTTTTGAGTGATCATGTATTGTTAGCTAATACCTTCAATTTATTCCACTGATATAGGATAAGAATTAAATTAGGACTTCAGTCTCAATACCTCTATGGAATATCTGATTATGCACTTGTAATAACATGTTCAACGGTATTTCCGTGACTTTGGAATGGATTGTTACCTTTCTTTAGAAAGGGGAATTGCTGGCATGTTGATTTTGAAAGGTTGCTTCAGCCACTGATAATCCAACACTATTGCTAACAAAAGTGCAACTTTTTTCATTTGTAATAATGAATTTTGTGTATAGTTGAGTTCCCCAGTTGTTCGAAGCAGTGGGCCTACTTGTTATGTTGTGGCTCCCATTGTCATTGCAACTTCACTAGAAAAGTTAAAGGATTATCAAATCAATTATCTGGTTTTTCCCCCTGTAAATTTCTGTGAGAGGAAGGTTATGTGTAAGTAACGCCTGAAGCAAAACAGATTACAAATCGTTTACAATGTGGTGTAACTCAGTAAGTTACCGATCTGCTTTCCTATACCCTTAGTTTTCAAACAAAAGCATTCCTATTCAGGTAACATTACTGCATTTAAGTTCATCAACAAAATTAACAGATTTATTTTTTTTATCACTGACTAAATATTAATTTTAGATAACAGCTTTAACTGACAACTGTGGTTCATTATAATTCTTGCCCTACACCATGGAGCTTAATGGTGTTTTAACAAACTGAGCTGAGGAGCTCTAATGTGCCTATTTGTTCATTTTCCATCTCTCCCTCAGCCCTCTGCCAATAAAAAAGAAACTAGGAAATTTTAAATCCTATTGACATTGTTTAAGATATCAATGTGCATTCAAAGTTTGTTTGCTATGAAAAATTAATGAAGCTTTTAAAACATTATAGAAGACTGTTTTTTTTCTGCTTTGTTGAGTTTTTATTCATGTTTGCTTGCTTTTTCAGAGAAGTGTCCTCAAATTATTACATTCTAAGAGTGAGGTAGTCAGACAGTATATGGCAAGGCTCATCAATGCTTTTGCTTCACTGGCAGAAGGTAAGAGATTTGTTGCAAAAAAAGACAGCGTTTTCCTATACGGCTGGCTTATAGTTACTTCACAAGTGCACGTCACTGCACATGGAAATTTAGAGCCTTATTTGCACCCTTTTTTTAGGGATTCACTATCTTTTGTTAAATGCACTCAAAACAGTTTTTTAGTATCTGGAAATTTTTCATTTTGACACAGTATATTCAATGTTTCTGACTTCTTTTGATGATTTGTGGTCTGTGTGGGAACTTACCCAAGTGCTGCCCTTAATAGTCTTCAGTCTCTTCTGAGGGTTAAAAAAAAAAAAAAAAAAAAAAAATCCCCATTAGTTAATGGTCCTGTAAGCAGACCTGCTACCAGGCTGTGCAGTGGTAGTTAGTGCAGCTGCTCTTGCATCTTCCTGGTCCTCACCTGAATAAGTCTTTGTGCATCACTGCTGTTTGGTTGCGTATATATGCAGCTTTGTATCTCTGCCTGTCCCAAATTAGCCCTTAGTTTGCTGCTATTTAAGGAGCTACTATTGCTAGGAACTGAAATCCCATTTAAAGTCAATAGCAGTAGGGTACCTAACGTTCCTGAGCTCTTTGGACATCTCTGTTCTTTTCCTAGAGTATACAAAACTGTGATAGATCGGAAAGCATGTACTGAGAGAGGAATAGTGGATTCTGTGTGGTACTAACTTGGCAAGTGGGGGCCTCTGATGCCCTGAGTGGCTGGATTGAATGCAACTGGGCTGCTAGACAGCTCATTTGTGCAGGTTTGTTTGGGTCTTGGCACAAGATTGTGGCTTGTCAAGAAGAAACTGAGGTCAATCCTGCTTACTTTTCCAAGGAGAGGAAGCTTTTCTGTCATAGGCTGATATCTCAGCATCTGTTCTTTCATCGCTTTTTTGCACCAGGTCGTGTCTACCTTTCTCAGAACCCAACATTGCTGCGAATGCTGGAGGAGAGACTGAAAGCTGAAGACAAGGATTCCCTTACATGGGAGAATGTTCTGGGGGCTCTGCAGAAATTCAGCCTCAGGTGATGAAAGCACAGCACACAGTGGTGACAGCAGGAGAGGAAATGCAGGCTAGTTAGGCTCTGTTCAGGGAAGAAAGAAGAGCACTTGATTTTTCCCATAACAATCATCAGAACCTCTGCTAACTGATGAAAGCAGTGTCATTTCTTATGGAGGAGAACTCAGTTTTGCTGACTGAATTAACCTGACTTCCTACCAGCTGTCAAGACTCAAGTAAATGTACATCTGCCATAGCCTTCTGTGCTTTATGTATTTCTTAATTGAGCAAAGTGAAAATCTTAATGTGGAAAGTTCTGAAGATCCTACATAGAAAAAAGAGTTGCATTACATTCCAAAGCATAAGGTTTTCATTATCCTTTCTGCAAACATTTTTCAGGGATTTCATCCTCATCCTGTTAATCCTCTTTCCTGGAGCTGTCTATGCATGGGCTGTCTTGTTTCTTACTTTCGCATTAGCAGTCAGACTCAAATGCCCACCACGAAAGAACTATCATGAAAAAGCAGTAAAGGGCATGATGTTACTCTCACTTATCAAATAAATGTGATTGAGCAACTCTGTTTTCACAGTACTCAGGAGGAATATTCAGCCCTGAACAGTTAACTAAATATAAGGAGGCAGAGGGATGTGTTTAGCTCTTATTTTCATTCATGTTTTGTCTAAATTAAGACTGCAAGTGTTGGGAGTTTGTTTGGGCTTGTTGAAGAATGAGGGCTGCTTTTGAGTTAGCCTCATTTAGAACTTGTCTGGATGAAGCACATGTAAATGTGCTTTGAGTAAAATTCTGGACAGCTTCCTATCGTGATACCTTATACATATCTGAGATGAAAGAATAAATCTTCATATCCTACTCCTTGAAATCCTAAACCAATCTTAGACAAAATTATTTTTCTATTAAAGCAGTTGTTGATTGGACAAGTTAGTTTGAATTTTGGGGCTAGGCACTAACCTACTGAAAATTTGAAAGGTGTGTTGGTTGTTTTTTGGTAAAAAATAGCAGTTAATCTTATAGAAGGTTAATTCTAGATACTTGATATGAGGGACTCTATTAATTTTTTAATGTGTGTTCAGATGGACCCTTGTTTTCTTAGTCTGTGCCATAGACTTACTGCAAGATCCAGGACTGAAAGTGTACGAGCTTTCAGGAGTAATCCAAATCCCCAGTACTCAGACCAGGAAAATACCTGCTTTGATCTTTGTAATATAGACTTACTGCCCATTGGAAATAATGTGATTAAAAATGGTGTTCTTCAGTAAGATCTTTCTACCAGTATGTACTACCTTTTTGTATTATAAAGCGAGGAATTCCTGTTGTAGGAGATCAGTTGACCACGTGGCATTTATTTGGTTTACTCTTCAAGGGCAACTACAGATTGAGTTGAAAGAATACATGATTTAAGAACCTCTAGAGAAAAGAGCAAATAGATTTAAACAAAAAATTTCATTTGTCAAATCAACAGTACAAAAGTGCTGTACTGCTATGGCTACCTGTGGCAGAAGTAGTAATTAACTTGTTTTATGGGTCTGTTGTATGTAGCTGGCTTTTTCTACCAATTTTCAGACAATTGAAAATGCAATTTTAAGGTGGAGTTAGAAGCCTTAGAAAACAATGAAGAAACTTACCTTAGTAATTTGCAGGTTAAAAAACAAAACAAACAAACAAACCCCACCACACAAAACACACAAAAAAACCAACCCACCCAACAACATTTTAGTCCTCTAACCTTATGGGAATCTGCATCTTCAATTTCTTCTGGCTTTGTTAATTCCTTAGTTTAACTGAGTCTGCCCAAATGGGTAGTTTGGGGATTTTCTGTTGGCAGGCTAGTGTACAGCAGGTAGATGAAGTAGAGTTTTATATTAGCTACAAATGTATTTGAAAGCTATTTATGATGTGGTCTGACTTTTGTGGGCTTTTTTGTTTTTTAATCCTAGGCGTGCGCTGCAGTCGGCAATGATCAAAGATGGGCTCATTTTCTGGCTGGTTGATGTTCTAACTGATACGGATTGCCTGTCTGATTACACGCTGGAGTATTCTGTTGCCTTGCTCATGAATCTTTGTCTGCGGAGTGCAGGTGTCTTACATTTTTGAATTACAGCCTCATTCCAAGAAGTGGATAGCGAAGATTGTAAATCCTTTTTTTCTGATGTACCTGGATCCTTTAGAGTGACTATAATTAGTAGCAAGGACTCACATAACCAGAGATATTTGAGTGCTATAACCAATGCTTTTAGGCAGATCTCTTTCCCAAGAGTCCTGAACTATGGAGGTTAGCTTGATCAAAATCTAAAGAATTAAAACAGTTAGTCAACGGAACCCTCTAAGATTTGATTCTTTTTTCATATCTGTATGTGAGGACTGCCATTCCTGTGTTCCAGGCCCACTTTTCAGAGTACACTTTTTACTTGTGTAAGAGATTTGCTTGTATAAAACAAGTCAGAACTGAGTTGATCAGTAATGGCAAGAAGCTTAACCTTCATCTTGTGGAGTGAAATACTTGCGTGCTTTGCTTCTACAACACAGATATTCCCCCCACACCCCCCAAGGAACTAAGGTCCTGTCTATGTCCTAGAGACTTAAAAGAAGCTTAAAGTCAGTTTCCTTTTAAAAAGGAAAATAAGGTAAGGGTGAAAAATCGACTGCTTGCCATAAGCAATATAATGTCTTTGTTAAACTATTTAAAATCCCTTTGTCTTGCATCCTGTCCAAGATTACAACTGTATAAATCCAGAGTAGCTCCATGGATTTCAGCTCAGTCATGCTGGGCAGCATTTGGTGGGGATAAGGAACAGTATTGCTCTATGTAAATTATGTTTAGTACTGATTTTAAGAAGTAAGCAGCTTGCTCTGATCTATTATATTTTTTTCAAGCATACCTATGTTTTCTCCCTTCGCAGGGAAGAAAATGTGTGCAAGGATCGCAAACCATGTGCTCAAAGTTCTCTCCGATCTTCTTGGCCATGAGAATCACGAGGTATTTGTACAGCAAACTTTGGGTAAAGGAAAAGGTGGAAAGAAAAATTAAAGATTAAAAAAAGCAAGAAAGGAAGAAATGGAAAAAAGCAAATTGGTTTTGTTTCCCTCGTGTAATTAAGTTGCGTGAAATTTTCCTAAAATTCACAATTATGTAATTTTTTTCATTGGCACTTGTTTTTCTAGACATAATTATTTCTTCCTTTAACAAATGTTGGCAGCTAAGAAAGAAAGTCTTTTAAATGCATAGTTATCATGCAATCCATGTGCCTTCTTGATTGCAGTTTCTGATGCTGTTTAAATGTTGTCTCACACCAAATCATCTCAAGCTTAACTAGTTTGTTATATGAACAATGTGTGGTGCAAGCCAGTATGCAAAACATCAGATGCAAAGAAGCATATTTGCTAATAGTTTTAAGGAATGTTATAAGAAAGCACTATACCAGTGACATTCAGGCCCTAATATCTTTTTGTCTACCACTTCATTTAACCTGCCACTTAACTCTTTTGTGGTTCAAGTTTCTGCTCCCAGACTCACTTGCATCTTAGATGCTAAATTAAACTACCTCAGAGGAAAATGGTCACAATTATGAGTTATTTCTACCTAGTGTTTTTCAACACATCACTGATATCTGCTCTCTGCTATATAAAGCATTGCTTCAGCTCTCTCTGCAGAGGGTCACTTCTTTAACCATGGAGTAAAATTCAAGGCAGGAGAAAATGCGGGCAAATATTGTATGAAATTTGAAATCATAGGGAGGCACAATTTTTACCAGGATATTCCAGATTGATTCCTTGATTGTACAAGGTGTGCAACGAAATATAAACTCATGTGTCTCATGTTTATATACAATGATTGTATCATCAGTTTTTTGTTTATTGCTTAAACTGAAAATAGGGAATAAATTTGAAGTGTTTACTCTGTGTTTTATAATTCATTAGAAGATGTAGATTAGTTCTTTACTAGCACTGTTTTGATTAAGATGACATTTGGCACACCTTTATTGTACCGTTTCACTAGCTTTGTTTTTATCAATGATGAGAGTTAATACAATACATGCTAATACAAAATAACATCCCAGTCCCTAGGCTGAAGTATTTAGAAAATGCTATCATACTGTTGAAGTCTGTGCCTTACAATGGCCTTGAAATTTCTCTGAGGGTATTCTTACAACCTAGTTTGCACCAGTGCAGCTGATAGAAGTTTTGTTATTGAAATCGAAGGTAGAAAGTAATGCTCTCAAGTGCCAGGAGAGCTTTGAGAAGCTCTGGAGTCCTTGTGCAAATCTCAGTCCCTTATCTTTCCTTGCTTCCCCTGCTCCCAGCCTAGCTCATTGTTCATTTTTCCAAGGGTATAGACAGAGGATGACTGGAAATCTTAGTACTCCAACAGTAACTGGCCAATAGAAAGGGTCACATATGTGCTGATAAAAGTAGTTTGACAGATCTGGTGGCTTTCACTGACCATAATACAGAGCTTTCATGCTGGCTGTTTTGGTTTTTTTCCTCTGCTGAGGGACAGTAACAGGCAGCAAAGTAAGAGGATGTTTGAAGCTGCTACAGCTCTTCTCATCCTGCCTAAGGCTATGATGCTTGAAGCCTGTCTTGAGCTCATGCTGACCCAGTCTTGTCCCTGTTCTTTGTCCTATTTTTTGTACTGCCCCTAGTGTTTGTTAGAAACTAACTTTTTTTTTTTTTTTTAATAGGGCTAGGTCAATTTGCCAGAATACATTTTCAGAAGGGGTGGGGGGGAAAATCTGCATGCAGCAGTACTGATTTAGATCAACCATATGACAGTGTATTTGCATCCTAAAAGTTCACTGCTTTCCAAGTGGGAATTTTTGCAAGTGCGGGCTAGCCTGGTTAAACTCTCTAAACATAGTTGTTCTGCACCTTCACTCTTAAATTTTGCTTATAGTTGACTGGGGTGAACATAAGAGTTTTTCTTAGTGGTATGACTATTTCTTCCTCTTAGATACAACCATACGTGAATGGAGCACTGTATAGCATTCTTGCCATCCCTTCTGTCCGAGAAGAAGCCAGAGCAATGGTAAGAAGTGCTGCTTTTCATAGCACAAAGATTAATGCGTATGCCCAAAAAAGGCATGCACCCAGGTACCTGTTGAGTGGTGTGCAGCAGGGTTATGAAGTAGGAGCCATAGCATTTTGAGAAGGGAATCCACAAGAGGCCCCTCACCTTTGATATTCTAGCAGATATGAATGTATGTCTCAAACACTTTTGCCATATTTGCTGGTCTTTTTTCCAGAAGTGAAGCCCCAGCAGTGTGAAGGTGCTGTTTTAGAATAATGTTGTCCTTCTAGCATTTTGTAGACTGGATGTGGCCCGGGAGCTGCTTTCATCTGACCTGCTACTTGTTCCCCTTATTTAACTCATTCAGCACCAGTGAATAGCCACTAAGAGGATGAGTTAGTCTTGCTGTTTTTGTTTCTGCCTGGTGTAGACATGGTTAGCTGTGGAAGGCAGCAGCAGGAAGGTTTTAGCAGAACTAGGAGTTGATCTCCTGTGATAGTTACTCTAATGGCAATGAACATGCTTTAACTTCTGGATTTGAGGAAGCTGTTGCTGGAATAGCAGTGTATCTTTGTATCTTAAGAACTAACCTAGAGAATTATGCAGACATAACTGTTGTCAGATGTTTTACCTCACAGAGCACAGAGGATTGGAAGTCATCTTAAATGATTAAAGACATAACATCAAGCCTGTAAGGGGCCACAAGGAGAGAAAATGGGTTTAAGAGAAGGTCAAAGTTGGTCCTGCTTTTTGCTTTCCTTCTCTGAACCTTGCACTGTTGTCTCTCTGGATGCAAATTTGCTCTTTTCTGTTGGCTACTGTGTACTGAGTTCAGAAGGCACAAGCGGCAGATCTATTGTAAAAATTTGCTGTTGATTATGATACTTCTGTATTTAAACCTAGAAGCAATCTAGACAGCATATTTTTTTTGTCTATGGGAAGTGTATGGACAAAACAGAGTGCTTGGAGCTGGACACGGTGGTTTGTTTCATACTGCCTCTGTTTTTCCTGACAAAACAATGACATTTTAGCTAACAAAACTCTGCCACTGTGGTCACGTGAAATACTAATCTAGCAATGTTTTCCACTATATCCAGGGAATGGAAGAAATTCTGCGCTGCTTTATCAAGGAAGGAAATGCAGAGATGATCCGACAGATTGAATTTATTATCAAGCAGCTCAATTCAGGTCAGAAGAACAGATGCAGCTATCTATCTGAGCTGTCAATCTTTCACAAAAGCCATAAGAAAGCTCATGTTTTTACTTGACATTGAAACTCTCAAAGAATAACAATAGTGTGATGGTCTGAGAGGGTGAATCGTGAATGTCAAGATTTCAATGTCAGATGTATTTTTAAATTTCCTTCTATGTTACAATTATAAAGAAGAAATGAAAGGATGAGTAGGTCTCAATCCCAAGTTTTGGGACTGTAAACAGAATGACCTTGACTCTTTTCTTTCATGTCAGTGGCCTCACAGTAATAAGAGATTGCTGTCAACTGCAAAAATAAACAGGTGATACAATGTGTAAAGCAGGATTTAGGGGCTAGATCTGTCTCTGCTCATCTATTGAGTAGTGTAGCTTTGTTATCTGAAATGACTTATCCTGAATAGGGAGCAGACACCATCCCTTTTTTGAAACGGTGTTGATGGGTCCCAGGAGTTGTAGATGCTGTGTTAATACAGACAAGTACGACGAGGTGGAATATTTATTCTATTTTCTGTTCCCTGTGACTGAAAGGAAGGCTGAAGAAAGAGAAAGCAAATAATGAAAAGGAGATGAATACTGGTTAAATCTTTTTGTACAATAAAAAAGAACAAGTTTGACTGCTTGCTTTGGCTTTTGGAAAAACAAAAGACAGCATATCTTATGGTCCTAGCTTGTAGAAGAACAAATAAAGTATTTAAGCACTGTATTGCCACCATGCAATATTTGTTCATCAAGGTTATAGAATCATTCTTCTTCTACCTGTTACTGGTATTTTTAAAAGGTTTTGTCTGATTGAGTAAAAGTTAGGTGAGCAGATTTCCGGTATAAGCCTGGCTGCTTTTTTCTAAGGAAATGAGTTTGTCCAAAAGTTACAATAAGTATTCTACGTGAGTACTATCTTTTTACGTATAAAAGCAGTATAATATTGAAGTGTTTGTAGGGAGAAGTAGAGTCTTTTAATAAAAATTAGCTGAAAAATAGACAAACTTGCAAGTGCACATACTGTCATTCAAGTCGTGCCAGTAAATACACTGAAACGTCATCGTGGGATTTATGAGGAAAGAACTATTCCAGAGTGTTTCCGTTTCTGCCATTTTCCAAATATAAATTGATTTCAATGATTTCTAGAATTCTTTATAGGAGCAAATAATTCCAACAGTTGTCCTGAAAGGAATAGATCTATGATAAGCAAGCTAAATCTTACTGTTGTAGAAGAGGGGCAGTAACTAGAGATTCTGTTAAGTTGCATATGTACTCTTACACCACTTTGTTTTGCTTCTTTCTAGAAGAGCCATTAAATGATAGTATTGTGTCTGACGATGAAGAGGAAGAGGAGGATGAGGAAGTAAGTTTAAAGGCCTTCTGGCACTTTTTAGAAAAGTTCTTAGCCTTCTAGACAGAAAATATTTGTGTCAATAAGCCAGACTTTGTTTTTGTTTTGTTTTTTTGTTTGGTTTGGGTTTTTTACTTTTATTTAATGACCAGAAAATTTGATGTTTTCATTACCTTATCTGCATTTGAACTTCTACTTTTATTTTAGCAAGTCTCCACCTCTGTGATAAATAAAGGATTATAGATTGAAATAAGTAAAGAGATGAGGAGTTACTGTAGCAGTAGAAATCTTGCTTTCAAGCAGGCCCATTTCAGCAGTTAAAAATAAAGGAACCAAATGAACCAGTATATTGCCAGAATAGTTTATAAACAGGTTATTTTTTTCTTAAGGTATCTGTTCAGAGTGTCACTTCTGCTTTTGCTGTTTAGAAACTTTGAAATATACTTAGAACATTGTATGTAATGAAGGAAAACAGTAATTACAAATTAAGAAATAAGTCCCATAAAAAGATACAAGGAAAAAATTGAGAAAGCATAAGAAACTACGTCATAGTAAATATAAACTGGTCAGCTGTGTATTTCTAGCTCTGCTAATAAACATTTTGTACCAATACATCAACATTTTTAAGAAGCTGTCTGCCTAGAGTAATGGGATCCCAGGTGTAGACAACACAGCATAGTTGATCATCTAAATTTAATAAGCAAAGCAAGGTGTAAATGATGTGAGGGAAATGTTAAACCCAGTCTCCACTGGTGATGTTGCCGGAAGTGCACGAGAGGGGTTGAAAATATACTCTGTAGGTGGCTACATGGGAGCTTTATCTGAAAGAAGTTTACCACATGGCACTTTTCTTTTATTGAAAAGTCTTGCATGAGAAATTTAAAAGAACAGCTATGGTAGATGTCCTTGGAATAGTGTTTGAACATATTTAGATGAGTGTACATGTGCACATATGTTTATATCGTGTATCTGCCCTGAAAAAGTCAGTGACATTGAGAGAGATCTCTGCAAAACATTCTTGTAGTATAAATATTACCAGAGAACATATCTTTACTGAAAACCAAGTTTTTAGATGAAAAAGTAAGATTTTGTCCTGAACCAACAAAGAATAAGACACATAAAACTTACCAAGTCAGTTATATCCACGTTTTACTAGCTAGTTGCACATTAACACAAATGCTAGTGAACAGTGACAACAATGCTACAGTCTAAGACGTGCCCTGCTACTGCAGGGTGCCTGAGTGCATTTTCAAGTGCACGTTGAACCTTTTATGTTTTGAAAGCGGAGAAAAATCTAAGTATCTCGATTGTAAAAGGTGTGGTGTGCTCTCAGCTGCCGTGGGGAGCAGCACCTTGCAGGATCCAGCCTTTGCCTGGCAGTGTCCGGGGAAGACTTGCACTGGTTGCATTATTTAGCTGCTTTCTGTGTTGTCACAATAGGTGGTGAACAAGTGAACTAATTACCCTTGTGACTTTGCCTAAATTTAGAGCTATATAGAAATCCTATAAGTTTGGAGCTACAAGGAAGTTTTATTTAACAATTGACTCTCCCCCTTTTATCCTAAGGGAGTAAACTGGTTTTTTTCTAATAGAATTAGATTGTTCTGATTGTTTCACCTCCTGCAGTCCTGAAGTGAGTTTTCAGTCGTCTTTCCCCTCCTCACACCCAAAATCAATGCTTGATGTGCAAGATGGGCTTTCTGGGGATTAATAGTTATAACTTCTCTTTGTTTAATAGGCTGCTTAACACCCTTTACCTAATGTTCGAAGGCTTTCAGTGTCTTAGGTGTATCGTGGGAATCCAAGGTGGTGATATTTTCACTTCAACTCTACTATACTTTTCTAAGAATATTGTGTTCTGTTGGGAAAGCACGGAGATAAGGAACTCCTTCATGAAAGGTGTGGCACTGAACTGCATGATAGTGTTGAACACTTTCAGTACTTTACCTGCTCTTGGGAATGAAAGGAAGGCAAATTTTTCTATTTAATCATACCCCCTGGACAAGCTGCTGCTGCTCACAATCCCAGCCAAGGCTTTAGGTCAAATCGGTTTGAAATGCATCTTTACCACTGAACCATCATGATTAAAACAGACTTTTGCCACTTATTATTATTTAACTCAAAAATAACAGTAGACTTTTGAAACAGAGAAGTGTCTGATTCCAGATTTTCATTAGCTTTGCCATTATATTAAAAAGAAAGTCCCATTAAGCCACTTTTAAAACTGTTTCTAGTGTAACATTAATTGTTGCATGTTCTAAATCCTTATTGCTGCTCGGAACTATAATTCTCTTCAGCTGCAAGAAGGCTTCATTTCTTAGTGCCTCAGTTTAGAAAATATAGTATACAAACAGCATGGCAGCAAAATGCTACACAAAATGCATAATGTTATAAGCAAAGATTTGACTTGCTGCCTCAATGCTTGGAGCCTTTTTGTGTTTTGGAAATGCAGTGAGATATGGTTCTTTGGGGTTCTGTGATAACATCTGATGTTGTGATCTGGCAACAGAAAGTTTTCCAAAACTTTGTCAGAAGTCTTGCCTTTATGTAACTTTTAAACTCCTACAGACTGAATATAGTTCAGAATATGTCCATATGTTGACAATTTAATGAAGTGTATTCAAACTAGTTACTGATATTATAATTTGTTGCTGATCTACTTAATGCCGATATTTATACCTTCACAACTGAAGAAACAACAAAAGGGCTCTTTTATGCAGACTTAGTTCACAGATTTTGCCCCAGCTTTTATTGTTTCCAAGAGCATGCAAAGGTCCCCCATGCTGTTACTATTACCTTTCATGTTTTTTTGCTTTTATCTGTGTTTAATTTAGAGTGGTTGAATTCTCTCTTGGCTTTGAGCAGATCTTGTGGTAATGACTGCTTTCTCCTAAACACTGCCGCCAAGATGTGGTTGAGCCTGTTGGAGGATAATTCTGGGATTTCTCAGGGCATCACACACCCAGAAATTTAAGATTCTGTAATATTTGACAGTGGAGCATGTAAACTGAATAAAAAATGTCTGTCTGTATGCTGTTTTTCAGAAATACGTTGGCTTTTGGGTTTGTCTGCTGAGCTGCAAGTTAACTAATGTAGAGCTTGGGATGCACTGGCTTCTAGAGTACCTACCTACCTTTGTTATTTTAGCCATCTCGGGTGTGTTGACACCCACAGTCACAGTGCATATTTTCTGGTGCTTAATATTCTCTTGACTGTTCTGTTAAATACTACCTTAATTTATCTTCAGTATTTGATCTTTACATTTGCTTTTTATTTGACTTGGACCGTCTTTAAAAGCTCCTTGTAAAAGTGAATACATGATATTGTAGCTCTAATTCAGAAGTTTAGTTACAAACTTAGAATCATAGAATGGTTTGGGTTG